TCAGTTTTTCAATTTAGACAATCTCTGGAATAATCTCTGCGGTGTACTTTCATTTCCTCCAATTGCTCAAACTTGCACCCGTAATTAGCATGGAAAACTTTATATTTTGATTAGAGTGGAGAACGAAATAAAACGAGTTACAGTTTTAACGAAAACATTGGCATTAAGTTCGGCTCGATGTTAGAAATGAACAGGGCAGGTTCCACTGTATTTACAAGCCAAATAGCTTTTGGTCAGTAAACTGACATGAATCATACATTGATGCCTTTTTCATCCTCCAAGTAATTTCTTTGGCAGTGGTGTCGTACTCGTTCGCTAATTTAAATTCAGTGCCGAATACCTAGTAGCATTAGATGTAATCCGCATATTTCTGAATAAAATAACTAAACCCTTCCTGCGCTCATATTGTGGAGTATTCAATTCTACATGGGAAAATAGGTGAATGAGGATCATCTTGAGTAAAATAGTTGAATGAGGATCATCTTGAGTAAAATAGTTTCCTAAGGAAAAGACTGTAGGAAAAGCCTCCCACTTCATCGCAGGCGAGCCCCCGGTTTTCTCCAGCACTTTTGATGAAACCGCGTGACAAAGAAGGCACAAAGGCGTTGTTTGCTTTCCATTTATTTGCTCGTAGTCTCGGTATATCCCGAAAAAGCCTTTCTCAGACTACGGCTCCAATGATATGAATATTAATCTCCCGAGTAATTTATTTTACGACAGAGTTTCACCGTCAGACACCCTTGAAGCCGAACAAACAGAGTAGGTTTACCTGAATTCATAATCTAAATGGCTTTTAATCAGCAAGCATGAATCATACACTAAAACCTTTTTGCATCGTCCAAGTAATTTCTTTGGCAACGGTATCGTACTCATTCACTTAAATCCAATGCCGAATACCAGAGTGGCACCACAATTTTCAATGCTGCATTCATTAGATTTTTTACTTATATTGCTACTGCTAGGTATTTTTGATCCAACTGAGCTTATCAATGGAATTCGCCAGCTGTACAAGACTCGCGAGGGATGGCTCTCACCATTTCCATGGTGTGAAGAGTTTCAGTTTTTTCTTGGCGATATTTTTACAAGGCTCAAAGTGGTCAGAAGAAAGAAAACGAGAGGAGAAATCACTGACGTATGTGTTGAGATGTCGTCAATACTAGACCCATATGAAGAGTGTTCAGCGCCGAGAACAGTGTTGATTGAAGGAGAACCTGGTGTGGGAAAAACTACCTATTGTAAAAAGTATGCTTACGACTGGGCCACAGAACAGCAAGAACCTCAGGGCTGCGGCTCAACAGCATTTAAAGTGGTATTGTTGCTGAAATGTCGAGATATCCATTCTGACGTTTGGAAAGCCATTGCTGATCAGCTGCTGCCCCTACGCATCGATGAAGAAGTCAAACAACAATTTTTTCAGTTTATTCGTGAAAATCAGTCCAATATTTTATTCATATTGGATGGATTGGATGAGTTACCATCCGGGAAATTGTCGATGTTTTCCAAATTAATTGAAGGAAGAGAACTCCCTAGATGCCACATAGTTGCAACAGCAAGACAAGAAGCTGGAAAAGAGGTGAGAAAATGTTGTGACGCGCTGCTTCAGATCGAAGGATTCACTGAAAAGCATGTGATAGAATTTGTCACCAAGTACTTTAAAGAAAGGACGGATTTAGCCACCAAGCTCTCGCAACGGATGTCGCGAGATAAAAACCTGAGAGAAATAGCGGCCAATCCTCTAAATACAGCACTTCTTTGCCTTTTATGCGAAGAGTTTGAGGGCACACTCCCCGAAAGCAGAGCTCAACTGTACTTGGATATGGTTGAGTGTGTTTTGAGAAGATATAGAAAAAGGAAGGGACTACTAGAAACGATCGAAGACTTGACAAACTATTACAAACCGCAATTGAATCACCTTGGAAAGGTAGCGTTGAATGGTTTACTTGACGATAAGCTGGATTTTAATGTAAGTGAATTGAGAAAAGACCTGACTGAATTTGGATTTCTGTCAGTGCAGCCTGGTGGCAGCAAACT